ATATTTTTATATAATATATTAAAATATTATATTTGTTAATAAATAATTAATACTTAAATTAAATATTAATATATTTACAAAATAGTAACTAAAGTAATATTTAATTTTTAGACTAGTGATTGTCAATGATGAAGAATTAAATATTGAACAACCTTTAGAAAAATTATTATCATTCAATATATATTAGCTATCTGATGATGATGATGTTATGATAATTTAAGATAAAGAGCCTAATAATTCTTCTTTATCAAGCAATTCTTCAAATAACTCAAATGATACTGCAAGTGAATCTTTAAAAGATTTATAAGAAAATCATAGACCAATTAATTTTATTCTATCAGAAATTAATTCTAAAATTTTTGATTTACTATTCACTTTTGCTGATAGTAATAAGAATAAAGCAATTATCTTATGAATAATGAAATATTAGCAATATTTCAATATATCTGATATTGGAACAAAAGCATTAATTAAGTTTTTTTGCTATATACTTATATATTTTAAAATAAATGAGACTGATAGTTTCTTGACTTCCATGTTTATAGCTAAATCATCTTTGAGTATCTTAACTAAATATAAAAAAAATATTGCTTGCTCAAAGTGTTATAAACTCTATAAATTATTAGATGTCAAAAATTATAAAGAAGATAATAAATCTGTATACAAAAGATGTATATATGTAGAATATCCTAAACATAGATCATTATCTTAAAGATCAGCCTGTAATGAACTATTAGCAGAGATTATAAAAACTAAAGAAGGATCTTTATTATAATCATTAAAACTTTATCCAGTTAGAAGTATAAGACAATAACTTTATATGATGTATTAGCAACCAGACTTTGAGAATATATTATGGCATTCTAGTAATAAAAATATTCTAAATAGAATTTTCTCAACTATATATAAGAATGATATTTGAAAAAAATTTTTGATTAATTCTGATGATCCTAAACTATTTTTTACAAATGACAAACTTGACACCTATATTGGCCTAGCTCTTATTATTAATTGATTTCAACTATTTGATTATACAGTTTGTAGTACTGGTTAATCTATGGAGTTTTGTGTAATTTATTACATAAGAATGATTCAAAACAAATAATATTTTAATATTAAATCTTATACTAGAACCTAGTGAATTTAGTAAACATCAAATTAATTACTATTTTACACTAATTATTGATGAATTATTAAAATTTTTTTCTGGTTTAGAATTACCAGTAATATTTGAATATAATAAAGAAAAAAAAATATATGTAGTATTAATATTATTTGCAAATAATGTTCCTGCTGTAAGAAAGATATGTGATCATGTAAATTATGTAGTTAAATGCTATTATTGTCCAAAATGTTCAAAATATGACTCTGATACTAAAAGAAACTATTATAATAGTTTTGAAAATATGGAGTTGTTTATTCCTATAGATATTTCATAGTATTTTAATATAGCAAAACAATGGTTATATTGCACAAATAAGAATAAACATGAACAACATGTCAAAGATATAGGAGTAAGATGATCAGAACTATATTAGCTAAAATATTTTAATCCAGTTAAATTTATAGTAGTTGATCTAATGCATTGCTTATTTTTAGACATCAGTAAGTGAATAATAAAACAGTGTTTATTAAATTAGAATAAATTTGACAATACTAAACTTTTAACAATTGAAAAATGTATATCAAATATTAAAGTTCCTACTGGCATAGGTCATATTTTATTAAAAGTTATGCATAAATTAGAAGGGTTTAATTGATTTACAGCAGATCAATAAAGAATATTCTATTAAGATATATTAGATCTTAAAGATAAAAAAATCATTTTTAATTTTGTCTGTACATGCAATTTATTAATAAGCTGAATAGTTAGCAAAGTAACATAGACAAAGCATATAATTAGCTAATAAACATGGCAAAGTTAATTAAAAAATATTATGACCCAACACATATATCATCAAATATTCATTTGTTACTTCATATTAGGCAATGTTGTCTAGACTATAGTTCACCTTATACTTATTAGTACTATTCTTTTGAAAGAATAAATGGCTTATTAGGATCTTATCAAACAAGCAATCAGTCAATTAAACCTAAACTTATATGCATCCTAATAAAAAATGCACATATAGACTTTAGAATAAATTTAGCAAATAGTAATGACACAAGTTCATTATTGGACCAAGTTTTTTTACTTTTGGATAAAAAAATATGTAGAAGTTTAAAAATAACTAAAAACTTTAAAAGTAAAGATTTGGTAGCATATCTGAAAATCATTGAATAAAATTGATACAGCAAATGTAATTACAAAAGCAGAAAGATATCCTGATAAAATACTAAAACCAATTCTTTTAGATATATATCTTTTTTAAAAAATTTATCAATATTTTGTTAAATATTATTCTATATTATATAATATAACATTACCATCAGTTGATTATGTTGTAATCCAATATAAAAGATTAAAGTTGGAGGCAGATATATATAGTTCAAAGATAGCCTAATAATATGTTAACTACTTATATATCAGAGCAAAATTCTTAGTCTTTACAGATAATACTATTGATACATATTTAGAACAAATACAATTCTTTTTTTAACATAAATTTTTTAGTAATACCTTCAATTTAGCTTATATTTGATAATATTGAACATACAAAATATGAAGATATTATTATTATTAAAGGATGATGAGCATTGTAATATAGAAATTTTGTAAGATAAATTTTATAACAAAGCTAAAAACTGTATAATTCTTGTTAAAAAGATATTAGAATGATTTATCTCTTCATTATACAAATTAAATATATGGTAAGTAAGTAAATATTTAGTCTAAGTTGATGTTGTTAATATGCTATAGCTATAAAATTTAAAATAAATGTAAGTTATTAGTGAATTATAATAGATACACCAGAGCAATAGTGTAATTGTTTCTCTTTGGTCTATGCCATCTTGCACCTAATAGCTAAATATAGAACCAAGGTTTATAATAACTGAATTATATTAATTATTATGAATATTAACTATAAGTTATAATATGTTTTGGGAAATTTTTATTTAGTTTAGTGCATGTTGTAGAAGTGGAATATGTACAGAGTTATATGCCTTGCTCATGTCTTGAGCAAGAGGCCAGATTTTTTTGTTTTATGTTGTGTTTCTTGGAGTATATTTGTAAAAATTTAAATAGATTGTATAGTAAATGAGTATAATAGAGCAACAAAGCTGTGTGAATTAAGAATAAGATATTTAGACATTATTTTAATAAATCTGTTAGTAATATTTTTGGTAAAAATTTCTATATGTGTTTAAGAGTTATAGGTTTGGTGTGATTGAGTTGGTCTGTAAATATAGATTTTTTGGAAATTAGATATATTTTGCTTTGTTTTTAAGCAGTTGATATTTATAAGGTATTTAAACATTTGTTAAACAAAATTGTAAGAAGTTTAATAATATGAGAATGAACATGTTTGAGCATTTCATTAGAAATGAGTATAAGTTCTGTTGCTTTTTGTTTAGTAATAGGTTAATTGTACTAATTATTTCCTGTTGGATTATAGAGTCTGTTAGTGTATTGTACTATGAGAAGAGTATGTTAGTTTTTGGAGTATATTCACTTTTTTATTATTTCTAAAGAGCTAGATTGTATAAATTATGTTTAGTCTAGTTTGCAAAGTGGTTTTGATGTATTGGCAGATCTTTTTTGGCTCTGTAATTATAAAGTCCTGAAGTTTTATATTATCAAATAGCAAAGAGTCTGTGTAGTAATTAATTATACTATTGATCATAGATGTTGTATTTGAAGTAAAATTGTTATAATGTATTTGAACATGTTGTGTAATTTGTTGTGAGATTGCCTGTTTGTTTTCTGAACCATGAGTATAATATAGTATTTTATAATAATTTTTTATTGTATTAATAGTGATAGAAAGTTGGTTGGGGTTAATATCAGTTATAATAAGAGGTATAATAAGTAAATTTGTAAGGAGTTGTATAGTTAGTATTTTTTGGTTGATAGTATTGATTGTTTTTTTTTTTTAAAGAGAGGTCTATCCTCTATCTCTTTTATTAATTAGTTAATTATATATATATAAGATATATGATGAAAAAACTATACTAGGGGAGATAGAGATAAGAGCTACTTTACTCTCTACCTATTTTTTGCTAGAATGGTTGGTAAACTTCTTGTTTTTGATAAGCTGATGAAGTAAAGATTGTTTATGCATAATATAGAGTTGTATCTTCTTATTTAAAGTAAAATGTAAAACTGATATAGTTTTAGTTAAAGTTGGTGTTTGTATCAGAGGCAGGATTGGAATAGCAGATTTATGTTATATTACTCTTGATGTAAGCCAGATTTTTTTGTATATTGCTGAAATGATGTTATAGTGAATAAAAGGTGCAGGTTTATATTTATGCTTGTTGTTTTCAAATAGTGCTAAAGTATCATTCATTATTATTTTCAGTGGTATTTGTTTATTGATGTAGTTATAAGTGAAGGCTTGAATAAATCTTTTTGTATTGTTGCAGCATAATTCTAGCTTGTTTGCAGTTTTAATCAATGTATAATTTATTAGTGTTTTGAGATCTGGATTGTTTCTAATGCATATTAAAAGATGTATAATAGTTTCTGATGTATTGTAGCTTCTTGCACAGAAATGGTTAGGATGTTTTGTAGCATTTCTTCAGTGACGAAGAAGATGAGTAGATAGTTCTTCAGATATTAGTTTGATTTTAAAGTTTTTAATTGCTGATAAGGTTGAATCAGTTACTAGAGCTAGAGGTTTTTCTTCATATGATAAATATTGTAGGGTTAATGACCAATTAATGTTATTCTGAAGAGTATGCTATAATGAGATTCATTATTAGTTGAACTATATCAAATGGTTTGTGATTTGATGTACTTGTTTCAGTGTAGTTTTCATCAAATAAGTGCAAGAATTTTCTAGAAGCTTTGAAACAAATCAATTATATAGAAACTTTTGTGGTATAGAGTCTAATGGAAAAATTGTGTTTGGGGTCTCTTGGATTTGAAGGTCTTTGTTAAAGATTATTGTAAGTACATAATCATATGCCAAGGTTTTAGAGTTAAGAAGAGAAAAGTATATTGTTGTTTGTCTAGTGTTGGATAATTATATAATTAAATTGAATTTGTAAAGTTGATGAGATTAACAAAAAGAAGTTATTAGTATATATATTTATCGAAGTGCCAAGACTTAGTGACGTAAGTATAAAATTTAATGTAGTTATTAATATGTTCAAATGGAATAGCCAGGAGTTGTTAAAACAACCAAAACTTAAATGAGAGTGTTGAAAGTAGCACATTGCTACTATTTGAGAGGTATTTTTGATATTTTGTCATCTGCTTGTTATATGAATAGTTGTAGTTTTTGTATTAAAGTTAGCCTTAATGAGGTCATTCCAAAGTATCATTAGTTGGTTTATAAAAGAGCATAGAGGACAGACTAAGGTTGGGTGCACCATTTGGTTATGAGTTCTTGGCCTTATCAGTAGAGTTAGTGTTAAGGCTTTTTTAAAGTCTTCTAAATTGATATTAATTCTTTTTTTGTAGTCTACTTAAAGGCTATAGATAGGTTTTGTTGCATTAAAATAGCAGTATTTGCTATAATAAGATGTATTATTCAATTTTCATTCTTTACAGGCCACTAGTGTATTATCTGATAATAGTATATAGTGTCGAGTTTTAAGATTCTTCTAAAAGTTAAGTTGTTTGTAATTATCCAGTCTTGTTTGATAGAAGTCCAATTTGCCAAAATATGTAGATTGCATTGTAAGTATATTGAGGATGAATTTGTGGATATATTTATTAAGTCTTGTATTATATAAAACCAATGTGGGCACTGGCCTCTTGGTATTTTTTTGATGTTATAATGAAAATGGTTTCATGTTGATAACTCTGTATTAGTAGCATTTAGAAATTGCTTAATGCAATAAATATTGTATTCATTTAGTTTTTCTTTGAGATAAGAGGCTTTTGGATATTGCATTAGTATTTGATTTATAAAGGTGTTTGTGAATTTTTTTGGATAAGGCCAATTATTAATATCTCTTGAAGTTTGCATGCCCAATGCATGTAGTGCAAGTACCATTTGACTGGTTTGTATATTCATTTAAATTATTGAAAAAATTGAAGGTTGTACAAGAATAGAAGTATTAGTAAATGCAGCATTTTGTAATTGTTGTAGACATAGTTTCAAGAAGAAGGAGTCAAAATCTGAATGATTTAGATTTTTTTGAAATGTTGTAACTAGTATTGAAAGTTGTGCTTGAGCTATATTTATTAATGTATAAATGTCTGGATTATATGAAAAGGAGTTAGAAATTCCTTGAGCTAGTTTTGCCTTATGTTTAACTAATTGAGTATATATTTTGTTAAGAGTATTTGCTTGGACTGAGATAAGAAATAAAGAATATAGTTAATAAAAAAGTCATGAAATAATAACATTATTTATGATATAAATTGTTTGATTTTCTGTTATATTAGCAAATTGTAACTTTTTTAAATTAATTATTACTTCTGCCATTATTTTTTTTTGTACTAAAGTTGGTCTTTTGTTAGTTGAGAACCATGCTCCCAGGTATTTGAATGGTTTGTCATTGTTAATCACTATTAGTTGTTCTTCATCAAAGAGTATAGAATTGTTTGAATCTGTTAAGTTTGTAACTAATATTAATTATGAGGGGTTGACTTTTATGTTGGCAAATTTGTAAAAAGATAAGGCAGTGTTTAGAATGTTTATAAAAGAGGTTTTGTTAGGTGCAATCCAAAGTGAATTATTCATGTAAGCAATTATTGAAGCATTTATTTTCTTTGGTTGCATACTAGGAATTTTGCTAGAAAATCCTAAGTGTTTTTTGTGTATTTTTGAGATTAATGAATCATAATATATTTTCCAAAGAAGTGGTAAAAAGGTTTCTTCTTGGTCAATATCATCCTCAACTGAATATGGTGCAGTTAGACCTAAGCTTGTAATTACTCTGTTGGTCCAGTGTGAAAGCAAGTATGATATCAGGTTTATGGCTTTGTCTAGTATATGGATTCTTTTCAGTACTTTATATAGAGTGTGTATGTGAATTGAGTTGAAGGCTTTTAATATATCTTGTGAGAGAATCCAGACTTATTTCTTATTTGTAGTTGCATCTTTCAAAATTTAAGTAAGTTGAGAGATTGGTTGTAGTATGAATTAATGAGAGAAAACTGCAAAATTATGTAGAAAAAGTACTTGATTTTGGGTTCATATTAGTTTATCAACAATCAAATCACTGACACAACACTTTACTGATAATTAATTTACCAACATATTTGTTTTACAAACAATTAATTTATCGACACTTAATCGATAAACAAGCTGACTTAATCGACAAGCTTATTTTAATGACAATTAATTCATTGACATTCATTTTGCTGACAAGATTGAATTATTAGTGAGCTTATTTTATTGACAATACATTTCACCAATGAGCTTATCCAATAATTAGCTTGAATTGACATAATGAAAAAATAAAATTAGTATTGAATGAGACAAAAAATCAAGTTATTTATACAAAAAAAGAAAGAAGCAATTGATACTTAATCTAATTTGTTGCTATGTGATGACTTATTTTCAACTTGAATTTATATAATAAAAAATAAAAGAAAAATTAGTATTGAGTGAAGAATCAAGTAAATTATACAAAAAAAAAGAAAGAAGCAATTGATACTTGACCTAATTTATTGCTACACAAAGACTTATTCCCAACTTAGATTTATGTAATAAAAAATAAAATTAGTATTGAGCAAAGAATCAAGCAATTTATGCAAAAAAAAAAGAAAAAAGCAAAAGATATTTGACATAATTTGTAGCTATGCAAAGACTTATTCCTGACTCAGATTTATATAATAAAAAAATAAACTAAAATTAGTATTAAGTGAAAAATCAAGCAATTTATGCAAAAAAAAAAGAAGCAATTGATACTTGACCTAATTTATTGCTACATGAAAACTTATTACTGACTCAAATTTATATAATAAAAAAAAGTAAAATTAGTATTGAGCAAAGAATCAAGCAATTTATGCAAAAAAAAGAAAGAAGCAATTGATATTTGATTTAATTTGTAGCTATGCAAAGACTTATTTCTGACTTAGATTTATATAATAAAAAAATAAACTAAAATTAGTATTGAGTGAAGAATCAAGCAATTTATGCAAAAAAAAAGAAAGAAGCAATTGATACTTGACCTAATTTATTGTACATGAAAACTTATTCTTAACTTGGATTTATATAATAAAAAAAAAGATAAAATTAGCATTGAGCGAAGAATTAAGCAATTTATATAAAAAAAAAAAGAAAGAAGTAATCGATATTTGACCTAATTTGTAGCTATGCAAAAACTTATTTCTGACTTAAATTTATGTAATAAAAAAATAAACTAAAATTAGTATTGAGCAAAGAATCAAGCAATTTAGGTAAAAAAAAAAGAAGCAATTGATACTTGACCTAATTTATTGCTACATGACAACTTATTCCTGACTCAGATTTATATAATAAAAAAAAAGGTAAAATTAGTATTGAGCAAAGAATCAGGTAATTTATGCAAAAAAAAAAAAAAAAGCAATTGATACTTGATCTAATTTGTAACTATGCAAAGACTTATTTACAACTCATATTTATGTAATAAAAAATAAAATAAAATTAGTATTAAGTGAAGAATTAAGCAATTTTACAAAAAAAAAGAAAAAACAATTAAAACTTGACCTAATTTGTAGCTATGCAAAGACTTATTCTTGACTTGGATTTATGTAATAAAAAAAGTAAAATGAGTATTAAGCAAAGAATCAATTAATTTATGCAAAAAAAAGAAAGAAGCAATTGATACTTGACCTAATTTATTGCTATGTGAAGACTTATTTTTGACTCAGATTTATGTAATAAAAAAAGATAAAATTAGTATTGAGTGAAGAATCAATCAATTTATGCAAAAAAAAAGAAAGAAGCAATTGATACTTGACCTAATTTATTGCTATGTGAAGACTTATTTTTGACTCAGATTTATGTAATAAAAAATAAAATAAAATTAGTATTAAACAAAGAATTAAGCAATTTATATAAAAAAAAAAAGAAAGAAGCAATTGATACTTGACCTAATTTATGACTATATGAAGACTTATTCCTGACTCAGATTTATGTAATAAAAAATAAAATAAAATTAGTATTAAGTGAAGAATCAAGCAATTTATATAAAAAAAAAAAAAGAAGCAATTGATACTTGACTTAATTTATTGCTACACAAAGACTTATTTCTGACTCAGATTTATATAATAAAAAAAAAAAGTAAAATTAGTATTGAGTAAAGAATCAAGCAATTTATGCAAAAAAAAGAAAGAAGCAATTAATATTTGACCTAATTTGTAGCTATGCAAAGACTTATTCCTGATTCAGATTTATGTAATAAAAAAAGATAAAATGAGTATTGAGCGAAGAATCAAGCAATTTATACAAAAAAAAAAGAAAGAAGCAATCAATATATGACCTAATTTATTGCTACATGAAGACTTATTCCTGACTCATATTTATGTAATAAAAAATAAAATAAAATTAGTATTGAGCAAAGAATCAAGCAATTTATACAAAAAAAAAAAGAAAAAAGCAATTAAATACTTGACCTAATTTATTGCTACATGAAGACTTATTTCTAACTCAGATTTATATAATAAAAAAAAAGGTAAAATTAGTATTGAGCAAAGAATCAAGCAATTTATGCAAAAAAAAGAAAGAAGCAATTAATACTTGACCTAATTTGTAGCTACACAAAGACTTATTCTTGACTTGAATTTATGTAATAAAAAAAGGTAAAATAAGTATTAAGTGAAGAATCAATCAATTTATGTAATAAAAAGAAAAAAGTAATTAATACTTGACCTAATTTATTGCTATGCGAAGACTTATTCCTGACTCATATTTATGTAATAAAAAAAGGTAAAATTAGTATTGAGCGAAGAATCAATCAATTTATGCAAAAAAAAGAAAGAAGCAATTGATACTTGATCTAATTTATTGCTATGTGAAGACTTATTCCTGACTCATATTTATGTAATAAAAAAGGTAAAATTAGTATTGAGCAAAAAATCAAGCAATTTATGCAAAAAAAAAGAAAGAAGCAATTAATACTTAACCTAATTTATAGCTATATGAAGACTTATTTTTAACTCAAATTTTTGTAATAAAAAAAAAAAGATATTATTGCTAGTATTAATAATAGGGAATATTATTATAGTGCTATAACATTATAGACTATTATATATAAATAAAAATTAATATAATATACAAATCAAAGCAATCTTTTTTGTACAAAAAATAATTTTTTTTATTAAAGTTAAATTTATGATTAGTTAAATTAAAGTTAAATTTATAGTTAGTTAAATTAAAGTTAAATTTAGGGAGTTGTTATTACCACCTCCCAATTTGTTATTGCCACCTCTACGTGATATATATATGATATAATATATATCAATATTAAATTATAAAACATTAATTATTTTAAATCAGATTAACAAAACAATTTTAGTCATTAGTTTGGCTGAATTGAATTAAATAGTTAAGTGTAATAGCATAGTTAAACAATAAGCGCTTTTTTTTTTTTTTACTTTTTGATTCATATTACATTGTTAATTAATAAAAAAAAATCGACCCATGCTACAAAATTGATAGTGAATTATGTAATGTAAAGTGTAGCTTATAACAGTCAAAAAATCAGTATGTTATAGCTTTTAATAATCAAAAAATCAGCAGATTATAGCTTATAGTAGTTCAAACTTCAGATCAAATATAGTACAGCCACTGTCCAAATATCACACATGTTATATATTATACAATTGATTAATAATACATATAATTAGTCTGTATGAGATATAATGTAATATATAGTTAAACAACATTTAGGTAGTAAATGTACTATGTTTGATTCTAATTATCATACACATTAAGAATGTGTCATAATTGCACATACAGTATATAAAAGTTAAAAATTTTTTTTAGATAAAGAGATAGAAGAAAGTAGAATCAAAACTATAAATATCTGTTTCATCTGAATTCAATAAAATCATCTTTACCCATATCTACAAAATTTTTATTGTTTCTAGAATCTGTTAAAAATTATAATTGTATTATATCTCTTACCTAATAACTATTGCAGTTACATATTACTGTATTATCAAAATGCTTTCACCTGTATCTCGCCAATTTATAAGCTGTGATAAACTTCTTAATTATGTTTGAAATTTCATTAGAATCCGAGGATACACAGTAACTGTAAAGAGATCACGTAGTGATAAAAATGGCAAAATTAAAAATTTGTTATTAAAATGTGATAAAGATGGTTCTTATAGGAACTGATTAAATTTGACAACCAATACACATCACTAACAAACTGCATCTAGGTTTCAGAATGTTCATTTGAACTCTATGAATTTAGATGTAATAATGTTTGGTTTCTTGAAGTTAGAACCCTATTCATAACTATAAAATATCAATAAATATGTTTGGACATCCAATAGTTTGCAGATTAGATGCTAGTCAATTAGATCAAGTTCGACGAATGCATGCTGCCAGCTCCTGCCCTTGTCAGATTTTATCAACGATTTATTAAAACGATCCTTCATCTATGGCTATATCAAGAATGATTTATAATGCATTATACTCAATTCATCAAGAAAGACTTGATAGCAGAACACTAATCCAAGCTTTATTAGATGAATTGCAAGAATCGGATTTTGAGTTTGATTATAAATATGATCATCAAAATCATATTACACTTTTTTTTTTTGCTTACAGGTTATCTATTGCCTTAACTTGTATGTATCCTAATACATTACTAATGGATTTTACATATAAGACAAACAGGTATAAGATGCCTCTATTAAATATTATTGGTGTATCAAGCTTCAACATGATGTTCTTTTCCTGTTTTGTTTTTTTAAAAGATGAAACAGAAGCAAATTATAAATAGGCCTTATTATATGTTTTAAAAATTTTTAATAGAATTTCATACTCTAATGTCATTGTCACTGATAGAGAATTACCATTAATAAGTGCTATTAGTAACATATTTCTAACTACTAAACAAATTCTATGTATTTGGCATATAAACAAAAACATATTAGCCAAATGTAAATGTCACTTTGATATGGAAGAACAATGGACTGAATTCATAAAATTGTAGCAAACAATCATAGGATCTATTAATGAACAAGAGTTTACAATTCAATGGAATAAATTCATAGAATGGTATGAAAATAAACCTAATGTACTTAATTATATTAGAGAAACCTGGATCCCATATAAAGAATATTTTATTTCTGCCTAGACCGATTGTTACTTACACCTTGGTAATAAAGGAACTTCATGAATAGAAGGTGCTCATGCCACTCTCAAAAAATGTTTACAATCATCTATGGGTAATCTTGAATCTGTATATCAAAAAATTATATTGCAAGTGAAGTCCCAGACAAAAGAAATTCGAGCAATGATTTCTTCTAAACATATGCAAGTATGATATACTTACCAAATCACTTTATTTGAGCCTCTTTTGTGTCATGTATCTATTTTTGCTTTAAAAAAAATTTATAATAAATGGATTAAGGCATCAAATATAGCTTAAAATTTATCTTTACACTCTTGCAAAAGAACCTTAATATTCTCAATGAGACTTTCATGCTTACACATTATAGGCAAACACCTAGCAACTGGACAACCATTACAATTAGATGATATCCACAAGCAATGATAAATTCAGGGTCATTATTTTAAATTCTTGAAAGATCCCACACCCTGTAGATAGTAGTAATGCTGATCTTCAACTCTTATTACAAAGTCTTGCACAACAATATCATTTCTGGCCACCACACCAACAGGCTGCTGCCTATGCTCAACTAAAAGAGTTAGAACACATATCTTCTATTGTACTAAAAGATCCAATTATTACTAAATCACGAAGAAGGCCAATTGGTGCAAAAAACTGAAGCCAAAATTCAACGCAAAGAGATCTGTCAGCATTTGAGTTTATTGAAATATGTCCAAGACAGTGTGAAATATGTCATGAAACTGATCACAATTGCCAAACCTGTCCTAATATGTAAAGCTGTAGTTCTATAAAATAGATATGAGTATTACTTCTTTGTAATTAGCTACATATGTATGTATCTACAAAATTAGTATATATTAGGTATTTGCAAATAAATATAATGATAATTAAAATACACACAATATAGTATGTTGGTGTTTGTATTTGCTATATATATCATATGAATTTTTAATATTGTCATGTAGAAATCAGTGAGTCTGTTGCTAATTTTTTCCAATTTTCATATAATCTACAGTTGCTAAGTCAAAATAGGTGTGTTAGATTTGGCTGGATGGTTTATCTGTAGGTAAGTACTACTTTTCTCTTTCAAGTCTTTCCTTCAACCTATGCTTTCTTTAACCTTGGCCTTCTTTTATCTTCTTTTTTCTTCTTTATCTTGAGGTTACAGTACATCGAATTGGAGTCAGGTTCTTCTCTTGTGTTAATGGCTTGGTTACATAACTTCCAGTGAACAAACAAAATGCAGTTTAGTGGTTTACAAATAGGTGAATAATAGTTTATGACAATGGTTTTAATGATAGTTTATTAGCTTGTGTCAGGTTATAGTTTTATTTTAATACAGGGTTGAATACTTTAAGTTTATTTAAGCAAATGTATTTACTTGAGGGTATTGCCATTACTTTTTCTCCTAGGCAAGAAGCCCTTTATTTATAATAAAAGTTTTATTTACATTTGGAGTTTATTTCTTCTGCATTATCTATTTACATTACATCTTTATAAGACCCGTTTCTCTTTTATAATTGAGAAAACCCAAACATTTTATATGCCATCAATCTACCCAAAGTAACCAAAGTAATAAAAGTAAAAAAGTAAGATAAATCTTACTTTTCATGTGACTAATCACTCAGATAGGTGATGGGTTTCAAAAATGTGATGATTGATCATATGTCATGTGCAACTATAACAATGTAATACTGATTCCAGGGCTCACAATATGTAACACTTAGTTTGTATATCATGTGGAGGTGGTAATAACAACTTCCTAAATTTATAGTTAGTTAAATTTAAGTTAAATTTATAGTACTAGAGCATCTTTATACTTCTTTTAATTATATAATAATTTAAAATAGAAATCTTGTTACTTGTTCTTTTTTCTAATTCTTTTTTTTTTTTATCTTTTTGTTTCTTCTTTCAATTCTTCTTTCACTTCTTTTTTGCACTTTTTTTTTTGTTTTCTTTTTATTTAATATAGAAGTTGGTGCCTAAATAAGATAAGTTCTCTAAAAATTAATATTCATATAAAATGCTTTTTTAGCAATTCATTAATTTTTTTATAATGTATTGCTAAATAAAGCCAATAACAAGATGTACCAGTACATAATAATTAAGTAACTGTAATAAGAAAGTAACAATGATATTATCCTAAAGCTAAAATAATATCAATAGTAAGATGTATGTAATAATTAAGTAACTTAAATCCAAAATATTCTAAGAAGAATGTATGAAAAAAAAGATATTTTAAAATCAAATATCTTAAAGACAATTAAGTACCTGTAATAAGAAAGTTGCTATGATATCATATTGTTCTGGGAAATTTTTACATAAAGCAATATCAAATTTGTATGTAAAGATCCAAATTATTGTAAGAAAAATATGTAAAAAAAAAAGTTCTAAAATCAAATATTTAATAAAAATAGGCAATTAAGTATGTGTAATAAGAAAGTTAAATATTCAATAAAGAAACAATTAAATAAAAATATCTTGTAAAATCACAAAGTCATATTTTTATTATGTGTTACACCTAATAAGATGAAATTACAAGAATTTTCATGCTAATAATTTATGGTTATATGATTATAAATTTATAAGAGTGCTGCAAAGAGAAAAACCCAGAATTCTTATAAAATTTTGGAGTTTTCTCTTTGCAACACTCATCATAGTTTGCCTAGAATTAACTAAAATATAAATTTTTTTCCTTACATAGTCATATTTATCTATACTGTAAAATGGATAACATTATTTGTGAAGTCATTTCTTTAATTTATAGCAAAGATAAACTTAATGTTTATAAACATTTAATGAATAAAGATAAAAGTTATAAAGATACATTTTACTGATATTGTAAGAAGCAGAACATATTTAACTATGGTGGGTGTGCTGTAACAAAATTAATTAACAATTAACATTATCTTAAAAATGTGTCAGACCATAATCACGCAGCAGAGGCTAGCTAATCAGTTGTTGTAAAGACGATTGCTAGAATCAAGAAGCAGGCACAGGAAACTAATAACAAACTAGCACAAATTGTGCAAACAGCAATCACTGACATCTTACAATATGTATACCCATATCTTCCATCATCTAATGCAATTTGACAAATTATTCAAAGAGCTTGGCATCTTGACCTTTTCACAGAGCCAGGGTCTTTAGAGAGTCTTGTAATTCCTGGGCATTTGAAAAAAACTTTGAATAAAGAAGAGTTTCTGATTAATGGTTCTATTGTAAGTCATAATAGAATTCTAATTTTTACTACACCTGATAATATCTGTTATCCAAATTGATCCCTATTTTGGATCATAGATGGAATATTTAAGATTGTTCCTATCATATTCAGGCAATTATATACTATTTATAGCATGTCTTTTTTTTTTTTTTTTTTTTTTTTTTGTTTGTTTGTTTGTTTTAATTAAATATTGTATAAATATTGTGTAAATTGTAATTTTACTACATAAATGGCTCTATTTTAGATGTATTGGTGAAAGAGATAATTCCAGAATTATGTTATTGGTATTTTCATTAGTAACTAGTAAATCTGAGAAATCATATAGAGAGTTGTTTCAAGAGTTAATAGATTTTGGAAAATCGCATAATGTTGACTTATGCTCACAAATAGTCCTAATGGATTTTGAAATAGCTGCTATAAATACTGTTCAATTGAAGTTTGAAAATGTTTAAAGTATAAGATGCCATTTCTATTTGGCCCAGAGTGTTTATCACAAAGTTCAAACTTCTGGGCTTTTTGTACAATATGGTACAAAATAAAACTTTTAGCTTGCTAATTAGGCACATTCCTGCTCTCACATTCCTACTCTATAATAATATACCAGGGACATTTGATGAACTAAAATCCAATATTTCAGTTGAAGCTAATGAGGTTGTTCAATGGTTCGAAGAATATTATGTTCATGACAAAATTAGGCAAATAAATAGAAATAGTAATATGATTAGAGCCAAGCCACTATTTCCATTCAGATTTTGGTCAGTATATAGTAATGTTGAATTAGCATACCCTTGAACTCAGAATTCTGTTGAGGCTTGGTATAGAAGATGGGAAATGTTAGTAAATTTCACACACATTGGTGTTTTTAAAATTATTAGAGAGATGCAAAAAGAACAAAATTAGATTTAGCTCAGCATCGAAGCCATCTTACAGGGTGCACCAAGACTACTATAGAAAAGACAAACTATTGAACATGAATTATGTATCTAATTAGTATTTAATAATCACGACAATAAGTCACTCATAGAATATTTACAAAGAATAACCTATAATATTTCTTTGTAGAATTTGCTCTTTTTAATTCTATTTTTTTTTTTCTCTTTCAGGTATATAACCTGGTGGTTTTTTTTTTCAGATGCATACCCTGAAGTGCTATATGACACATCAATTCTACTTTTCGATTTTTAAAATTTATTATTTTTTCTATTTTTATTTCTATTGTGCTTTATTATTTTATTTCTATGTTTAATTAAAAATTTTATATTTACACTTTATTTATATTGTTCATTTAGTTAAAATTACAAGTCATTTTTATTATAATGAACTCTGTTATTGTAAAAGTTCTCTCAATATAGTGAATTTGTTAATAAACTCACAATATAACAAATTTTTAAAAGTATCTTCTTTAGTATAAGTTGGAAATTATAATTATTATAAAATAACAATATAAAAACTATCAATTTTAAGTTAATTTAAACCATAAACCTAATCTTAACTCTAATCCTAACTCTAACTCTAATTAAACTTAAATTAGTTAAAATAGTTAGTTATTTATATTATAATTTTATAATAATTATATTTGCCCACCTATACTATAGTTTAACCTATTTTTTAACTATAACATTACAATTTTGATATTTTTTTTTTTTTTGGTATTAAGGTGACAATGGTCTAACATCAATTTTGATATTTTTAAAATAGTTTATTATTAAATTTTTTAAATAAATTAAATTTTATTTATTTATTTTTTTTTATAAATAACTTGATTCTTCACTCAATACTATTTTTTTTTATTACATAAATCTGAGTTTGAAATAAGTTTTCTCATAGCTATAAATTAGATCAAGTATAATTGCTTTTTTCTTTTTTTTTGCATAAATTGCTTGATTCTTCACTCAATACTAATTTTATTTTATTTTTTATTATATAAATCTGAGTCAAGAATAAGTCTTTGCATAGCTATAAATTAGGTCAAGTATTATTGCTTTTTTTTTTTGCATAAATTGCTTGATTCTTCACTCAATACTAATTTTACCTTTTTTATATTATATAAATCTGAGTTAGGAATAAGTCTTTTTGTAGCAATAAATTAGGTCAATTATCAATTACTTCTTTCTTTTTTTTGCATAAATTGCTTGATTTTTTGCTCAATACTAATTTTAGTTTATTTTTTTATTACATAAATTCAAGTTAGGAATAAGTCTTTGCATAGCTACAAATTAGGTCAAATATCGATTGCTTCTTTTTTTTTTTTTTTTTTACATAAATTGCTTAATTCTTCGCTCAATACTAATTTTATCTTTTTTTTTATTATATAAATCTGAGTCAGAAATAAGTCTTTGTGTAGCTATAAATTAGATCAAGTATCAATTGCTTCTTTCTTTTTTTTGCATAAATTGCTTAATTCTTCACTCAATACTAATTTTATTTTATTTTTT